TTCACACATAACTGCCAACCCAGGCACCACATCTTTCCTTCATGAACCCCTCCTAAATTCCATGAAATTTTTCCTGACTCTCACCACACGTTGACTCATACATGCCTCCCAATACTATATACACACACACACACACACACATAAAACTCAGATTCTTCCCTAAAATAATTCTATATTTGGTCAACAAAAGTATCAAACCCCTAAAGATAGTAACAGATTTCACAATTTTCTGACTACCACTGATTCTGTAATTATCATCATTTCTCAAAGTTCCACAAATTTTTAGAAGGAATGTCCCAAAATGTTCAAGTCTTCTACAAAATTTTAACTCCTTTCCTGCACAACCCTCACAACATTTTTAGAATATCTACCTGCAACCTCACCTTGCATATTAAATAACACCTCACATTTCGCCAGGGACACATACACCTGAACACACAGATTTAGCTACAATCAAGCTTATAGATCTGTCTAGGACCAGAGAATATACACATAATCACACAGACACATGCAAACACACACACACACACACACACACACACACACACGCAAAAGATAAGCTGAATTTTTTCCTATGTGCGTTGTAGTAATTTTTTGGATTTTTGTTATTTACTTTTGTCTGTAACAGATTAACAAGGGCATTGTGACCAAAGAAAGACCAGCACACATACATGTACAGCCATAAGTAAATATGCAGTTCACAAACATACCTCATTGTTTCTTGCAGCTGCCCTGCTCCCCCAAGTACTGATTCACAACAGAGCAGAGAAAAACAATCCACAGAAAGCAACCCTTCCCTGTTATAAACTGCTCTGTAGCCTATCGAGAAAATGTTAATGATTTCAAAGCAAATCACTGCCCAGTTTTCCCTTTCAGGATCAAAATTGTTAGTTAATTAGTAATCACAATCTTCCTCTGAAGAAGACATCCCAAGACCTTATAGCAAGAAGTCACTGTTCCAACCCACTCCAACTCCTCAGGTCACTGGAATGTTTATTGGATGATAACACTCAAGGTGTTTGGTGAGAGAAAACAAGACTAAGTTTGAAGAAAGATCAAAAAACACATTAGCTGCTATCCCAAAACTCCGGTCTTTGCTAGAGAGCCCTAGTCTCCTAAGAACCCTTAATTTAAGCTTGACTAAACTGTGGAGACCCTTTGGCAGTCTAATGTCTGCTATGGGATACACTTAGATTTACATTTTTAAGTGCATGAGATAAAATAAATAAGGACACAAAAAGAATTCGTTATACTAAAATAGTTACTAGTCTATTTTTTAATTGCAGTATGTGCTTCTTTGTATGCTAACAATATAACAGATATAATTGCTATTGCAATTTCTAAATAGTTTTAGAATAAACAGTCTTTCAATGATATTTTAAATGTAAGATATGAAAGTAATATAATCTCTCTTGGAACCAAAGTCATAGGTAAAGCTAACACTACTTTGGTCTGTAACCTACCTTTACACTAAAAAGAAATGTTAAGTTTCAACTAGAAGTTATGCAAGAAATATATTGCCCTCTCCACTTCACCAGGCTGCCTTAATTCCATCCAGGAGCTCCTTGTTAAGAACCTTGTTGTCTCTAAATGGACCTTCCTCAACGTAAAGTCCTCACTATATGTGATCCATGAACTATGGTTGCCAGTCCCCAAAGAAAAATGAACAGACATTCAAGTGCTGAAATGTTTCTGTTACATGTCAGAGAAAATTGACACTCATCAACCCTAATGATTTTCAAACAAAGCTTGCATTCACATATCCTTGTTTTTAATTTTGTTTCTTTAGTAATTTAATTTTAATTTTACCAAAGTCACAGTCTGAAACACATTGACAAATTTTTAAAAATGGATCTCATACTGCACATAGTTTTAAAATCCCTGCCTAACTTGCTATTACTGGGCTTTGCTTTTATGGACTATGAAAACTCAGCAAATATTGAGCCAAAGGATATGAATTTATGAAGTGATTGTCACCTGGAAAACCTAAGTCACCAAATCTTATCCTGGTCATGTCATAGTGGACACAGACTTGTACAACCTAAATGGAATCAATTCATCTTTTCCAAAAGCTCAGTTCTTTATGTTTCTCATTTCACCTGTCACTAGTGAAAATGTCAGAAATCAGCAAAGTCTGACCCTCAGGCTTTGGAAAAACTGGATGCATTTGTCATCATGAAACAAAGAATTTGTATGCAAAAGTGGAAGGAAAGGACATTGACTTGCAGCACCAAGACATCTGCCTGGGTTACCTCGGTAGTAATCGTGATTGCCCCAACCAGCTCCAGAATTTCTGTGGGTTGGAACACTCGATTTGACCCCTAATGTACTTTAAAGATCACCAAGGATAGTTGTCTAATTTTAAAAATAAATAAATTGAGGCCTAGAAATGGTGCAAGTCTTGTGTAGGTGTTAAAAAGATCCAGATCTGTATTCAAAGCCCATGTCTACTTCTTTCCCTTAAGCAAGTAGGGCTCTGTTTTCCTTAATTTAAATGAAGATACAAATGGAACCCATCCAATAAAATAAATAAAATAATGCAAGTAAAATCCTTGATGTTACGTTAATATAAGTTACAGTTAGGATCATGATGAACTACCACAAACCTTGAACTCCAATCAGAACTTCCTACAATTATGCTACACTAGATCAGGATTCTGAACACTGTAGGTAGTTACTACTATGTTAAAAAAAACTTTCAAGCACCTACTTTGCACAAGACCCCACACTACATGTTGACATCTATGATATTGCTAGATGTCAGGAATTTAGAGGTTTATCTTCAAGCCCTTGGACTCAAAAAGCTGATTTAGATCAAACCAAAGTACAAACACTATGTTGTCTACAGTGGCTTGCTGCTTGGGGACAGGGATTTCTCCAACCTTGGGAAAGATATGGAAACTGTATACTTTGGAACAATAAAGGCCATGTAAGTATGAAAACAAGCAAGTTGATAACAATGACTCCATCTCCCCATTCTCCCTACCTTCACCCTTAGGAGACCTTCAGAACCCAAATGTGGATCATTAGCCCCAAGCTGTCTCCTGCTTATAAAATAACCCTTTACTGATATAACTCAATTCAACATTTAGTTTTCATACAGTACTACCGACAAGACACTGTCAGAATAACAACATTGATGGCGTACTTACTCTGGCATATGCATTGTGCTAACTGATCCACAATTCACATGTATTCTTTCATTTCCTCCTCTTAACCATACTAAGTACTATTATTAACTCTCAAGATGAGAAACACCAAGCACAAACAATAACTTTCTTAAGTTTATAGAAATGGTAAAATACCAAGCCAGGTATTCTGTTCAAACCTACACTTGCATGAAATACGATTAGTTCCTCCATGACCCCATAGCACAGAGAGTGTAAGAAATGATCAGATGTTATACAAAAAGAGATGAAAGCATCACCCAATGCCATGGGACGAACACACATCAAGAGAGTAATAGAGGACAAATCAAAAGCAGGAGTGGGAAAGGAAGGAGAAAAGGAAAGACATTTTGGACAAAGGAGTAGTGTCAAGATTGCTTTGGAGACTTCACCTGATAGATACAGACTGGGAAAGAGATGTAGGATGATCAGGCACACTGCTGGAAAATTATGCTGGAGCCATGGTGTGGAAGTTCCAGTACCTTGGGAAGAAAATTCCTTTAAACAACAGGGAACCACTGCATGTCAGAAATTGCCCAGAACTGTCATAAGCATGAGCTAAGTTTCTGACCTTTTTGCCTAAGACTCAAAATGTTGGCTCATCTGCCACATTCAGTATTTAGTCCAAAAGAATATTACTTTCTCCAATACTTTCAAGAAGACTAGTAGTATAAGCACAAGGGACACTGGAAGCAGCATAAGATTTATGTCCATTGGAGTGATGGTGTGCAGTTATGAGGAAGAAAGGAAAAAAATTCATATAAATCTTTAGCATAATACATAGTCCATAGTAAGCAGTCCACAGATGTTATTGTTGTTATTAACATCTCCCCTCTCACAGAATATTAATGCAATAGTACGCTCAAGAACACATTGTTTTATTCTATGGTTGTACATTTTCTTAAGTGCTAAGAAGAGTCTTAGCCATCCATCAGGTCCACGTTCACTGAGTTTTCTCAAATGTTCCATCAAAGCCAAACTCCCAGACTTGCCAGAGGAACCTATTCTGACCACTGAGCTCAAAGTACATGAATTCCATTGTGTATTCTTCAGCTTCTTTGCACTGGTTATGACTTCATGGATTCTTCTTTCCTGGAATAAAATCCTTTTAGAAAGCAATAGTCTAATCAGTCTGAATTTTGCCAGAAGTAGACTGTGATTAGGTTAGCTGTCCCTGAATGTATCCTTCTAATCTGAAATTGCTTGGAGAGTATTTCTATGTTACATAAATAAGGGTGCCCAGCCATCAATATGGTATCATAAAAAAGCAAAGGTCTTGAAACTAGCCTGGACTTGTGTATTAAATTCTCTACTTTTACTAGCTTCACACCTTTGGCAATAAAATTTTCCAAAGCTTCGTTATCTTATCTGCAAATTCAGGATTATAATATGTACTCATAATTTTATTTTGAACCTAAACAGATATAATAAATATTAGTACATAATACGAGGTTCTCTGCCCCTTCCTAACTGATCATTTCTGAAAGTAAAATCTTATCAACAATAAGTATTATTAGCTTAAATCCTTATTAAGAAATGGTCCTTAAACATAAGTACAAACTTGTTGGATTAAGGCAGAAGAAAGTGATCTCTTCCTTCAGGGACCACTGGTGCAGACAAGTGGTGAGCAGTTAGTAACCACTCCACCTGTGAACTGCTTCTGTGGATCAGTGGAGGAAAATCAAATCTATACTTTGTTCACACACACACACATACATTACAACCATACTCAACATCACAACACATCGTACACACTTGAGTACATGACATCTATCCCTCTACCTATCAAAATGGTGTCTCACAATCTCCATAGACCACAAACTTAAAATGTACCTCTTCCTTTTATATCAGCCAAGTGACTTTCTTATGTCCTATGTAAGACCTTTATATCCCGGGACACCACAAAAAGGAGAAAATGAATCCGTTGACTCAGGAGCAATTTCTCGTCCAAGAAATGTTCTGAGGAAGGTGAGAGTTGAAAGTACATACACAGGGCATTACAGCACTTCCTTCTTTTGTGAAATAGCTACTGCTCAGCAGTTTTGCACCATGTTTTATCCTGTCCCACCTTTAACCACACAGATAGGAGCACGTGAACAAAGACGTGAGTCCAAAGAGACAGTTATTTGGTATAAGATATTACCTAATATTCATGCACTTGCAATAAAACTTTACACATCTGCATATGATTGCTTTTTCCAGAACACTTTGATCTGTATTATCTCTTTTATAACAACAAGCCTATGAAATAGAGCAGGTGTTTTTAATTCCCTACTATACATGAGGAAACAGAAACTAAGAAAAATGCCCTTTTAATGGTCACTCAAATAGTTGCAAAGTTGGGTTCATACTAATTTAATTTAAATCTAATAATCCAGTTTTTATAGAGTTTGAAATCAGTAATTCTAGAAAATTGCTTTTTAGGCAAAATATTTGTTCATTCATTCAACAAATTCAAAATTTACTGGCCACCAAATTTTCAAAATAAATATCCTCAAATCCTGTTATGGAATTCTAGCCTCCTCACTCAGAGATGATACTTCCCTAGGGTGCGAAGTTTATACACATTCCAACCATCATTAAAGGCTCTGCTCCCACCCCCAGGTGGTACTATAAGGTCACTCCTGTACAGGCAGCTCAACATAATCCCACTCTCTGACTGAAGCTCTCTAGACCAGCCCTGAACAGAGAATCCAATCTCATCAATTGGATTCTCCCTCCCAGAAATTTGGATTTGAGACACAGAGCCTGAATTATAATGCACTGGGCACTAATCTGTGGGAACAGAGCTTTGAGAGGCAAAAATTAGAGTTTCAATGAGTATTTGTTTGCCCAAAATAAGAATGGGATAGATATCAGAGAGTAGCCTGCCTGGCAAGTATGAGGTCATGAGTTCGATCCCCAGTACCAAAAAAAAAAAAGAGAGAGAGAGAGAGAGACAGAGATACAGAGAGCAAAAATAACAGGCCTCTCAAACTTGCTATGAAACCCTCCTGCAAAAGGGTTCATGTGTTGGACACTTGGCCCCCGGTGTGTGGTACTGGGAAGCTATGCTTTAAGAGACCTTTAAGAGATAGATCCTAGTGTGGTAAATTGATCACTAGAGGCTTTGCCTTTGAAAGGAATTGATGCAGCTTTTGTAGGACCCTGTGAGAGGACTGTTTATAGAAGAGTAAAACCAGTCCTTCAGTCTTTGGCTTTCTGTGCCCCATGTGATTTCCCCCTCTTCTCTATGTTCCACCATAATGCTATCTGCCATGATGTGACACAACAAGTGAGCCCCCATCAGAACCAGGACCATGTTGATTGGGCTTTCAGCCTTCAAAATAGAACTATTCTCTTTACAGTTAACCTGCCTCCATTATTTCATTATACCAACTCAAAACAGATTACTAGAGGCTGCAGGTTTAGCTCAGCAGGGTAAGTGCCTGCTTGGCAAACACGAGGTCGTGAGTTTGATCCCGGCACCCAAAAAAAAAAAAAAAAAAAAACTACCACAAAACCCAAAGGAGGATAAACAGAGAGACTAATTGCCAGAATTTTTCCAATTTCCATGAAGGCTAAAATGTAACAGTTTCACATGATTTTTCTGTCTTTTCATCAGAAGGCTACCTTTACTATTAGAACCACAATCACCACTATCACCACCATCACCACCATTCCTTACTTCTTGCCAGTTTTTGTGCCATATAAATTATCGCAGCTGCTAGGCTGGCTCCCTTTGTCCAACATAAATATCTCAAAGTGTAAATTTCTATAAATCTAGTTTTCCTATAAGCAACAAATTATCACTGACAATTGTGAGACCTCCTTATCTCCACAAAGTTCCTCTAAATCATTATAATCCTCCAAGGATTATAATTTATACACCAGGAGACATATATTCTAGGACATATGTTGTGATACACTAGGAAGTAGAGAATGAAATTTCTGAGAAATTCAATTTTAGCTCAAGTCCCTGGGAGAAAACTAAGTAATTTCAATCAATATTTTGAATTGTGAAAAATTGTGGCACATAGAATGTATGGAAATTCGTGTTATTTTTCAACATAAAACACTAAATTCTACAGAAATGTTTCCCTATAATCAGCTTCTATATGTATGCTTGTTCCTGGTCTCACATGCCTGGAGAAAAACATTGAAACATAAAGCCTTGAATTTACTGGCAATGTCACATAGCAATACATGGATTGTACTATTTTTTCCCTTTTCTCTGGTTTGGCTCTCTGAGTTCCCTCACATACCTCTCCTTCCTGTTTTGCTGAGAATGACCACATCCAATACTGTCTCCATCAGAGCCCAGCGTCCACTTCTGTGGCAAAATGCTCAAAGAGCCAGTGCCACTTACCTATTTATGTTACACTCTGCTAGAGACAAAGAGAGCTTGCTTACCATTCGAGGTCTCACAGCTATCACTTTAAAAATATCCTCTCCTTTGGCTCATGTTTGTGGACAAGATGAAATTTCTAAAGGAGTGCAGAATTGCTTCTGAAGGAATCTCTACCCATAGGCCCTACTAAGGAAAATTATCTTATTTATGCTCCTAATCACAAGCTTCCATGCTGATGTCAAAATTCACTAGACTAGGGATGGACACCTAACCCAAACACAGCCAATCCCTAAATGGATCAGCAACTTATGAAGCATCTTGTTTGTGACAACTTGGCCATGACACTATTTAAGTGTAAAACATAAAGATGGTTACTAGAGATTAGTTTTAAGAACAAAATTTTTAATAAGAAATAGGTGAAAGAATCACTAGTACTACTCTGCCCACGTCTCCTTGATAACTACGTGTGAACAAAACCACTATGAATTCAACCACAGGAAATAGAGACATCCTTTGTTGTGCTTCCCCTCTTGTACTTCCTGTTTTCTGTCTCACTGTAACAAACAAGCTTGGATAGGAAGCAGGCCAACCTTCTCTTGAATTCACTTCTTGGTCTCACATGCTTGGACAGGCAATTTAGATGCTGAGGTTTTCTTGCAGACCAGTTATCTCTTCTTTCCTCCTCTTCCAAATGTCTAGGTGAGTAAGATCTCTCTCGTCCCTCTTCTTCTCCCTCTCCTGTTTTCCACTCTTGAAAATTCTAGGTCCAAGGTACAGGTTTTATAATAGATCAGTTATCAATTATGTTCAGCTTCAGTAACAGTGAGCACTGTAGCCCAGTGACATGCAGTTTCCCTTCATCACATAGTGAGAAACCTGAAGGAGAGTTGCTATTCACATGGGTTCAGCTGGTTAGCAATTTCAGAATGATAGCTTTGACATTTTCTTGGCTTTTCCCTCCTGATTGGAATTCAACCATGATAAGAAAATTCAGGTGAGAGCAGAGCAAAGATGGCAGATAGATAACAGCTGGTTACAGAGGCTCCCTGAGATGCTCAATTTAGAATTCAACATAATACAGCTTGGGGAGCCCTGAACAGAGGGAGAGGAATTCTCTCATCCCAAGAAGAAACTAAGATGAGAAAAACCAATCAAGCATACAGTACCCACCGGCCACGCCACCATGCAGCCCTAAGTGCCTGCGGGCCGCCTGCAAGACAGGCCATCCCTGAGCCCCCAGTGCTCCAGCCGCTGCCTCTAACTCTGTTGCCACGGGTCCACCGGAGGCTGGAGAAGTGGAGAGACTTGGCACTCACCAGCTGCCCCTGCCCCTACCGCCACCACCACCACAGCCACCTCCGCCGCCTCCCTGGATCCAGGCAGTCCCAGAGGGAGCAAGGAGGAGTGCAGATTGCAACATTATGGGCACAGGACCAGACCTACTGGGACACATCACTGCCTTTGCCCTCGCTGCTTGCATGAGGACTCAAGCCCGTGGCGCCAGCGCTAAGCGGCCCAACTGCCAGAGTGCTCCTAAGGTCCCCGGGCGGCAAGTGTGTCTTCGCTGCCACCAGGCCCATGTGGCCAGAGCTCCACGGAGCCACCACCCATGAATGGAGCCCAGAGAATCGGCTTCTGAAAACACCTCTTCAGACAATAATCAAAAATACAGAATCAGAACTTTCCAGTTTCCTGCTGTGCTCAACCAACTTCAGGGAATTGGACCTGCCTGCCTGCACCTTGAACTCTGGACTGGGCAGTCTGGGGCGAGTATCCCAGTGCCATCTAAGCCCCTGGGAGGGAGTTTAAGATACCTAGGTAACAGCAAATTGGGGAGAGCAGCAAACCCCCAGTCAGCAGGCTTCGGAAAGACCCTAAACAATTCGGAGAGGGCCAGAGACCCCTTGGACACACCTGTCTGTAAGAAACCAGAAACATGACAAGAGACAGAAATTTAAAAACCCTCCAGCCACTGACCCTGGAAAAATAAGCCCAGGAGAGTTAAATACAGAAAAGAACCAGTGCAGTAATCATGCAATATTAGATACAGCATCAGCAAACATAAAGAAATACCTTCATGACCTCATAGATGAATTTAAAACTGTACTTCTGATCCAAGTGAGGCAAGATATAAAAAGATTAATTAAATAAATGATAACCCCCCAAGAAAACACAGATGGAAAAACAGAGGAATTCAGAAAAGGAAGAGAAACCTTTGATGAAGAATATAAACAAAATCCAGAATACATGAAACAGATCCAAAGAGATTACCAGGAAACTAAAAACTCCATTGAAAGCTGGCAAAATGCCTTGATAGAAACTAAAGTCAGCCTTTTGAAACGTGAAGAGAGATTTAGAGTGTGTTTGTGAAAGAAAAGATCTCTTAAAAATAACAAGGAACCAAGAAGAAACAATTCAAAAGGCTAGAAGATGACAAGAAGATTTATAACTTAAGAATAAAAAACGTGAGTGAAGAAGCAGGAGCAACTACAAATGAACTACAAAGACTATTCACAGATATGATCAAGGAAAACTTCCCAAGCATAGGAAAAAAAAGGATATCCAGATAAAAGATGCATACAGAACTCCAGCCACCTACAACCAAAACAGATCTACACCCAGACATATAATATTCAAGATCCCAGAAATCCACCACAAGAACAGAATATTAAAAGCAGCCAAAGAAAAGAAGCAGA